TCTCTCTCTCTCTCTCTCTCTCTCTCTCTCTCTCTCTCTCTCTCTCTCTCTCAATCTCAATCTCTCTCTCTCTCTTCCTTTCCCTCCTTCCCTCCTTCCCTCCCTCCTCCTCTTCTCTCTCCTCTCCCAACCCAAGTCATTTGAGGAAATCAATGAAAGGTATACGCAGCATGGCGCACTGCAGCAGGGCTGAGGAGAGAGCATGGTGGGGGATGAGCTGCCAGGGGTTTCACTCTTACACACAGAGCTCTTAAAAGTCAAATAACAGCTCAGAAGGAAACTGCATGCGCTTTGGTTAAATAACAATTATCACGAGTAGAGTTTTAAGCCTGTATTTTCTATTTAACCTCAACCATCTTTCCTGCTAATGAGTACAAAAAAATTATAAACGGTTAGACTTATTGGTTAAATATGAGTATTTGAAGCAATCGTTCATCGCGGTCACAGACAGTTTTCAGACCTGTGTCACCTTCACGGCATGCTTATCATTTTCTCCACAGAAGGTGCTTCTGTGCTCATCTCCTTCTGCTCAGCTAATCTAATGAGGTAACTATAGATACTGATCTAATGAATACCCTGTTAATTGCATCTTGTGTTGATGATGCTCTTAACACTTGGTCTAAGAGATTCTTCATTCTTGTGAGAGGCAAAACCTCAACAAGATTAGAAAGTGCTGTCTATAAAAACACTAGACATCAGATTTCTGTTTGTCTCCTGTATCATCTACTGATAGCATCTAGATACTGTTCTCACCCCTTTTCCTTTAACACCACATTGAGAACTTGCGATTGTACCTGCTGGTTGAGCCCAAGGCTATATCATGTTAGTAGAAGCATAAATGTCCATTTCTAAATTATTTAAATATTCCATTGGGTTTACTTCTACTGACATTCAATGGCAGAAAGCAAACAGTGGAAACTTAAATCAGAAATACTTATCTGGGATGTATATATAAAAGATAGAATTAGAATAGGAAACCCTATCATCTTCAGGTATCTGAAGCTGTGGAAATGAGTCTTACTTGCTTAGAAGATAGTGCCAATATACTTTATAAAACCTATTTATATATTAGTACTAGCACTAATTGACCAGAGTTTTACAACAGTGGCTGTACACTGAACAGTTACTTGATGAGCATTAAAACCCACTGACGCTAAGTCAGCACCCAGGAGGTAGAGGCAAGCCAATCTCTGAGCTCAAGGTCATCCCAATCTACAGAGTGAGTTTGAGGACAGTCAGGGCTACACAGAGAAACCCTGCCTCAAGAAACAAAAACAAAAACAACAAAACACAACCCACCTGATACTGGGGCTTCATTGTTTTGAAGTGTGGTCTGGGCACAAAGCTTCCTGGATGATTGTGATGGGTAAGCAGGGTTGGAACCTCTTGTTGAGAGCAGTCTGTCTTCAGGCCCAGTGGTTTCCAAAACTGTCTGACTACACCTGCTAATCTGTATGCCCAGACCCTGGAGCCCCACCCCACCACTCAGGGATCTCTAGGTAAGACGAGACTCCTCACCAGTTCTCATGGATGAGTTTGAGAAACTCATACCCAAGCAGCGATCTGTATATGTTTTAACTTAGAGGTCAGTAATATAACTACTGTTTTTTAAGTTGAAAATATATGTGGAGTCATAGTGCCATTCCACATGTGCTGAACACTATAAATACGTATTTAATTATTTGTATTCCATTCTAATGTGTACAATATTGATTAGGAAGAAATTTGATGGATGAAAATTTATAAATGCTTTTACTATAAAACTGCTGAAGGATGGTTTCATTTTTCTAAATACTTGATTACCACTAATATGAATTGACAGCCATTGCATACTAAACACCATTTCTTCTGCTTTATGCTTTAACTTGGTAATTTACATGTCATTTTAATTAATTTCTTTTTCTCTTCCAATTGACAATGAATTAATCTTTACTACTGCTGCATATCATTTCAAGGGGGATACACTTGGGTAGCCAATACTTTCTTTTTATTATATTTTTTATTATTTAAAAGTTTTAAAATTTGAATATACTTTGATCATATTCTTTCCCTCTTCCAAGTTCTTCTAGATCCTTTCCCCATTCTTACCCACTCAACTCTAAGTTCTTTCTCAAAAACAAAACAAAGCAAAACAAACAGAAACCTAATAAAACAACAATACCTCAACAAGAAAACAAAATATCAAAACAGAAAAAACAAAAACAAAAAAAAGTGCAAAACACCAAACTGTAACCAAATAAAAGCACACAAAAACAGTGGAGCCCATTATGTGTTGGCAGCTACTCTTGAACATGGGGCCTGCCCTTGAGTGGTTGGTATATCCATTCTCAGTCCATTAAAGAAAATGGATTTTTCCCTTTCCCAGCAGGTATAAATGACATTCCAGTTGTTAACCTTTACCCTAGTGGCTAGCTTTTCATTCATTCATTCGTTCATTCATTTAAAATATAACAAAATAAAATACAGTAAGATAAAAAGTATCACATCAAATTTGGACAAAACAAACCAACAGAAGGAAAAGAGTCCAGGAGAAAGCACAAGAGTCAGAGACCCACTTGTTCAAACACTCAGAGATCCCATAAAAACGCTAAACTGGAAACTATAATATATGCACTGAAGGACTTGGTCCAGACCTGTGCAGGCTGTATGGAGGCTGCCTCAGGATCTATGAGATCATATGAGTTTTTGCTCATGTTGATTTAGAGAGCCATGTTTTCTTGGTATCTCCCTGCCCACTGCTTTTAGATCAGTATTATTTGGTTTTACCCTAGGTTCCTAGGTTATCCTGTCTTTGCTTCTTGGTCACCTGAGCAGTGTTGGGTATAGATTCTCTCTCATGGAGTGGGCCTTAAGTAAAATCAGACACTGGATGATCACTCCCACAAGCTTTGTGCCACTATTGCCCTAGCATATCTTGCAGGCTGGATGCCATTGTAGATCAAAGGGCTTGTAACTAGGCTGGTCTTTATGTTTTTCTTTTAGTAGCTTACAGAGTGTATACTCTTGTTCCAAAGACAATAGAATATAGAGATGGAGACTCTATGTAGGCACAAGCTTGACATCTCCATTTCAATAGATTGTGTAAGTGTTGGGATAACTAACAATTTTTTTTTTTTATGTAGTGAAATAAAGGACAACAAAACTCTGGGATTTGATGAAGAAATCTGAACAAATAAATAAATCTCTATAAACAAATAAATAAATCTCTATAAACACAAACAAACTAACACACACACACATGCTGAGCCCAGCTTGGCCATGTATGGGACAATATGATATGGTTTCCTGCCCCTGGAACAGAGCCATCAGGGAGTGGGTCTCCAAGAGTGCTGATGATTGCTATGGATGTAAGGCTTGTTTTTATAAGAGTGTACATATTTTCATGTTCTTCCTTCAGGGAATATCCTCTCTGCCAAGGTTAATGACTCCATGATAATCAGAGACAGAGTCCAGGAGTCAAGGGTGTGTCTCAGCAAAATGGTAGAATGTTGTGACCCTCAGGACAGCCCTTAAGGCTGTGGGAAAGAACACTGAAAACACAAGTTCAAAAATATATATAATTTCTCAACTATGCAATATGAATTGTATAAGGAGCTTCAGAGATGTAAAGAGACAGAGGCAGCTGCACTAGAGCCAGCATGACAGAATGATACAAAGATAGGCAGATCCTTGAGTTAAAGGTCAGGGAGTTTAGATTCAGGCCCAGGTGTGGTAGGAATGGTAGTTTCAGGGCTGCTCCCAGTTCCACCCATCTATCTTATTGGCTATGCTTTGGATCTCTTTCTAAGAATCAAGGAGCTGGGGTCCTGGGAAGTCATTTCATGGGATATACAAAAAAGGAACCTGGGGTAAAGACTGAATTGTTATGTAAATAAAAGACTGGGCTTTTGATCTGCAAGAGAAAAGCTATGCAGAGAGTTTTTAGAATTGCAAAAAAAGGCTGTCTCCAGCAGAGAGCTGTCTGGAGATTTTCAGAGAAAGGAGGACATAGAGAGAGCAATCTGGAAAGCAGATTGTTGTTTCGAGCAGAACATAGGCTGTCAGCTTGAAACCCACAATTTGACTTCCAGTCGTTTGTTTCACCGCTCCCAGACACCCCTTCTCTCAGAAACCCTTCTCCAAGCTTAGGCTGGTTCTTGACATACCCACATACACACACTCACAAACACATATACACAGACACCACAGACACATACACACACTTTAAAAAAAAAAAGATTTATTTATATGAGTACACTGTAGCTATCTTCTGACACACCAGAAGAGAGCATTGGATCCCATTACAGATGGTTGTGAGACACCATGTGGTTGCTGGGAGTTGAACTCAGGACCTCTGGAAGAATAGTCAGTGCTCTTAACCGATGAGCTATCTCTCCAGCCCCATATACACACTTTTAAATCAAGACAACTTCTTCCTTTCTGTAGGAAGTGTTAAATCTAGTTATTTTCTCTTGTTTGTGTCTTTACTGCTTTTTCTTTGTTGCTTCATGTTATATCTCTGAAGACAGTGCTTGTATATTAAATTTTTCTCAGCTTAAATTAATGAATGCTGCCAAGCATAGTCAGACCCAATATTTGCATATCTTGAACAACACATTTTTTGCCTTATAAATACTTTTCTGTTAAGAGGATGCATTCCCTTCTATGTTCTGTTCTGTATTATAAACAAGAGAGACTTAAACATTGTAGCACTGACTTGTAAAAGAATATCAACTTGCTGTTAAAATTGAATTGGTCCATGTACAAGAGAAAACTCAACATTTTACTGTGTAATCTACAGGCAGCTTCTGTAAAGTTAGTGAAATGTATTGAGAAGATTTAGTGGGCATATTGGCTATATTTTGTTTTATTTTTTTGTGTATGGGTTTTTTTGCCTGCATGTATGTGTGTGTATCATATGCATGCCTGGTGCCTGAGGAGATCAGAAGAGGTCACTGGATCCCCTGGAACTGGTGTTTCAGGAGGTTGTAAGCTACCACATGGGTGTTGGGAATTGAACCTGGATCCTCTAAGAGCAACAAATGCTCTTAACTGCTAAGGCATCTCTCTTACCCTGATCACCACTCAAATAATAATTCCTAGTCTATTCTATCCATATTCTGTACCTCAAAGCCTTAATATAGGCTTTTAATGTCCCCCTCTCTAGATCAATGTGGGAGTCTGCCAACCCATCCACTGCTTATCCTGTCTACTGGCTGTGATCTTTCCTCAGTTGCTTGCCAGGATTGTCTACATTTCCCTTTCACAGACAATTTTGTGACTCTCCTTATCTTCAAAGATAAAATAGAAATTTTCAGTGTCACAGAAGGCTTTCCCCCCCATGTCTGTCTGTCTGTCTCCTGTGCCATGGTACGCTCTGCTCTCTAGTGAGCCACATTCCTTGGTGCCTCTGGCCTATGCTCGTGTCATTTTCCCATCTGTAATATCTTCACTCTCTATTGCCTCAGAGATTTCTGATTATTTTTTAATACCTCGAGGTCCTCACTGAAGTATTTCCCCTGATACCAAATGGTAATGAATCTTATCATGTTTAACACTAGTAAGCATAGAGCAGACTCTTTAAATATTTCATGATCTTTCCCTCTTATTGTGACACCAGATTTACTATGCCTGAGATCCTGATTTCTATACAAATTAAACCACTGGCCTCTTCTTAAATGAAGATATATTTATTAAATGCTGCAGTGTATCAAGTAAGGCACGGCAATACAATAATGAATAAGACGGTTTTTCCTGCATGCAAATTATATTTTGGTGTAGATGAGAGTTAAAGAACAAATTAGGCCATGATACATATCAGGAAATAAACAAACTTGGAAAGAGGCTGCAGCAAGGTTGTTGGGGGCAGGCCTCGCCTGACTAGTATCCTGTCTCCTCTCCATGACATTTGAACAAAGAACTGAGCTAAGTGTAGGAAGGAACTGTGCTGGTATAGGAGGCTTGGGGGAAGTTCCAGCAGCCAGTGCAAAGGCCTCGAGGTAGGCCTGCTGCTGGAAAACCAAGAATTCAGAGAAGGAAGTCAGTACTGCTCCTCACTGTCGCCTTCCTCGATAGAAGAACATTCCAGGCTTGTATGAGACAGCCTTGGCTTGCTCTGAGGCCCCTCTGGCTAAAGACAAATCATTTTGTGAATTCCCCTTCCCATCTTTCCCTTTCAGAGCCAACCCGTGTCTGTCCCTGGTGCTTACACGCACTTGTGTCTTATCTGGATCCAAATGCTAGTCTTAGTGTGAGCAGGGTCTCTGCTTAAGAAGGACTTGGGTCTGCGGGACCAGTTGTCCTTTGTGAGCTGAGGCCTGTCTTCTAGAATTGGCTGGCCTTTCACAGCTAGACTTCTAACCCCTGGAACAGAGCCTGGCACACAGTAGGTGAGCATTATTGTTTAGTATGACTGGAAGATTAGTGCTGAGAGTTGAGAACAGCAGGAGTATCCCTATAGCATTGAAAATTCCAGACTAGCTCAGGATATTAATAACCTTTAAGAAATAAAATAACCACTGGCATGAAGCAAAATTTTAGGACTGATTTATTAGATAGGAATCGAAGTCTAGATAATTTGAAACTTTTCACATTTGAGAGCCCAGGGACAAGACCCCCTACTATCATCAGATGTCTAAGAATAAATGGGTTCTAGTTGTCTATTTTTGGATGCTTCTAGATGCCCTAGGGGTTGGCAGGACCTTGCCACACACAAACCACAGTTACCTTCACCAGCTTCAGGCTGAACAAGAAGACTGTATTGGTTCTGTGTTCATGCTTGCCCGACTGAGTAGAGCTCTGTTTCCTTGTCAGGCTGCTGTCTGCCATGGAGAGTGCAGCTTCCTTAGGAAACATGCCTGCCGCGTTCTCGCTTTTCGAACATTATGATGACAGCTCGGCGCGGAGTGACCAGATGTTGACACAAGTGTCTGGTGAGCATTTTAATATATCATTTACCTCGATGAAACTTGGCAGCTTGCTTGCCTGTTTTGTTACGTTTTTATAACTGGGTGAAGATGGGTAGGGGCTGTAAAGGTTTAAAGCTAGACTCTGAAATAAGGCAGGAGATGTAGCCCCCGCTCTGTGTGTGGTGCATCCCCTTTGAAGCTCTGTGACTCTGATGGGGCCGGAACAGGAGAGAAGAAATCAATGGAACTGAAGGTCCTCTCTTCTTTTATTCTATTTTTAAAAACTGGAATTTCTTTCTCTGTATGTAAGAGAAGTACTTACTTCATAACAGCAGCCTGACATACAGGTAAAAAAAAGGAATAAAATACTTTCATATTTGGTGAACAAATTTTACCTTATAAGTAGTTTTCCCCTCTCCAATTCCGTTCCTTCTTCTTTATTTACTTTTTTCCCCCAAACCAAACAGATTAGCCAGGAGCACACAGAGCTCAGCAACATGGCCTGTAGCCAGGAACCTCCCACTCAGCTGTCAGAGCATCCTGCCAGCTTTGCAAATTATTTTTTAATGTGCTATTTTAGCAAACAAGGCAATGCAACATTTAAATGCTCAAAGCTGTCATCTTCCTGGTTCCTGAGGTCTGCTTACTGTACAGGGTGCTCGTATGCCCTCATCCAGAGGCACCCTTGTCAACCAGGTTTACCTCACAGACAGCAGGGGTGTTTAAAACTCTCATTCCCCGTAGAGAAGGTTCTAGGTTAGTAACCAGTCAGAAGCTACTGTGTCTTTAGAAAGACAGCTTACTCCCCAAAACACCCCCTGCAAAACACTCAACTACCCAACAACCGTAATAATGACAATTCAGTCATTTACCCTAATGAATGTTTTTCAGAACTGTCCTGCACTGAAGGGTGTTTTCTTACGTTTGTCGGAGGCAATAGACTACAGCAACTGCAAACTAAGATTTTGATGAACCGAGCAGCCGTCTGTCTTCAAGGCTTCTTTATACACAGCTGCCTGTTTACGAGAATAGACTTCTGAGCACCCTGTGCTCAGCGGGAGGGCTTTTTATATTTGTTAGAGGCCGCAGAATTACAGTCACAGACTGCTCACCATTGCCCTAGGAAGGATATGTAGTCGCAGGGGTGTGGAGCAATTCCAGGGAGAGAGTCCTAAGAATGGGCCCCTATGAAAGTGTCTTCTCTGCTGAGTACATAGCCCAGGGAGACCATTGAAATCGCACAGAGAGAAGGCCTCGAGGATCCGGCCCCTGCTGACTTACTCAGAGCTAGAAGAGAACACAGCTTCCACAAGAGAGGCAGCAATGCTCGTCTCTTATTCCATTCCCACAGAGGCCCTGGCCTGGTGAAACAGAGTCAGTTCTCTCCTCTTAACGTCAACCCCAGGAGGAAGGTTTAGTTATTACCCCACTGGCAGAGAGGGAGAGAGGGGAAGACAACAAAACTGGATGTTGATCAGGACCACGCAGCTGGCTGGAGATGTGGGGTGTCTGACCTCAGAGTCTCGGCACTTTGTCCACTGCCCAACTGCAAGGGGAGAGGAGAGAAACACCAATTAAGATATACTAGGCCTCTTTGACTCTGGATCTTAGACTTGCTTTTAACTGTGGTAAGGCTCATGTATAATTTACCATATATTAGGGGCTGGAGAGATGACTCAGCAGTTAAGAGTGTGTACTGCTCTTGCAGAGGACCTGAGTTCAGTTCTCAGCACCTACAGTAGGTAGCTCACAACTGCCTATAACTCTAGATCAGGGAATCTGACTCCCTCTTCTGGTCTCCATGGGCAACAGCACTTGTACATACACAAGCCCATGTAGAAACACACATGCATAACCACAATTAAAAGAAAATAAATCTTAAAAAATTATTTATCCATTTTTATTATAAAGTACTCATTTTTATTTTACTTTTTTTCATTTTACTGAGTTATGTATTTTGAGACAGTGTCTCATTATAAAGCCCTGGCTGGCCTGGCCCTCAATCAAAGAGATCTGCCTGACTCTACCTACTTACTGCTAGGATTAAAAGTGAGAGCCACAATGCTGGGCGTGTTACTCAGTATACATCTGTAGCATAAAGTATGTTCATAGTTTTGACAACTGTTACCACCATACAGTCCCAGAATTTCATCTTGCAGCACTAAATCTCTCTGTCCATTAAAACACAAACTCCCTCTTCCTCCAGACCCCAGAAATTGTCCCTCCCCTTTCTTTTTCTCTGAGTTTGATGCTCTGAAGAAGTGAAATCAGATAGTATCTTTCTGTAACTGTTTTATTCCACTTAGCGTATTTTCCTCCCATGTTCACTCATGTTTGTGACATGTGTCACAAGTTTGGTGTTTAAGACTTACCATATGCCTACACCATGGATTTTATCCATCCATTCATCCATTCATCCACCTACCCATCCACCCATCCACCCATCATCCATACATCCATTCATCCACCCATCCATCCATCGATGGAACTTGGGTTGTTTCTACCTCCCTCTTGGCTATTGTGACTGATACTGCTTTCCTCACAACTTGTGTTTGCTTTTGGAGAAAGCATCTCACTCTATAACCCAAGCTGGTGTCAGACTCATGGTCCTTCTGCTTCAGCTTCCTGGGTGCTGGAACTGTAGACGCAGGCTTCTATGACTAAGTTTTGTGGAGTTTTTGAAAGCCAGGTTGAGTGGAATCTATATTTGGCCCCAGGTAATGGAATCTAAGCTGATTGATGTTTAGCTCCCTGAGTGTAAAAATGTTCTATGTGTACATTCTGCCAGTCAGAGGGGCTCCACAGGATTCTCCTTCTTCCTGCACCTTAGCTCTGGCAAAGAAGCCCCAAGATTCCATTTGTAAGTTTTGACATCACATTTAAGTTTACCCCATAAATGTTTAAGCAGAGTTACTAACATGCATAATCTTGGTTCTGCCAAATATGAATTATAAACGTAGCCATGATTATTAGATTATGTCCATGGGCTGTTCTTATTTCCCTTTGGGGCATTTTAAAGAGTAAACGTATCTCCTGTTTGAAGAAAAGGATATTTTAACTTTAACTCTTTGTTAAACAAAGAGGAAACAAAATCACTTCTAGCCTACGTGTTTTATTTAACTCCCTATAGTGACTCTACCTCAAAGTTATGTGATGGGTGGGAGATTGGCGATCAGTTTTTATGTTTGTGAAGCTGTGCTGGAGAGAAAGGATATAGAAAGATGTTGCCATTTTTGCAAGGTTAGCTCCAGCCCCATGTATAATTTATAGTGGGAAGATCATTCACACTGTTCATGCTCCAAGGAGCTCATACTGCTTCAAGACTAATAATAGCTGAAGTGCTTTGTTTGGCTGTTCTATAGACCTGGGTAACAGGACAACTTGCTGAATTACCTCTCTCTGGATGAATACCTTCAGAGCAGTAGTTCTCAACCTGGGGGTTGTGACCTCCTGGAGGTTGCATATCACATATTCTGTATATCAGATATTTACATTACAATGCATCACAGTAGCAACATTACAGTTATGAAATAGAAATGAAATAATTTTATGGTTGGGCATCACTGCAGCGTCAAGAATTGTATTAAAGGGTTGCAGCATTAGGAAGGGTGAGAACCGCTCTTTGATTCTCTGTTGGAAGATAGAGCCATTGGTCTTCAGGGAAAGGTGGAGGCAGGCGGATGTCCGCCTTCCCGTGCAGTCTGCTCAGTGTGTCCTGTCTCTATAGCCTCTATGACCTACCTACCAGACATTGGGACTGCAGTCTTTACTATTAGGAGTTGTTTGCTCTCTTCTCCACTGTGTGCTCCTCCTGCCAAGGCTGTCTTGCCACCCCAGATGCTGCTTCTAGCAAATGCATTTTAAACACTTGATATACATTATCTTGCTTCATTTAGCAATCTTAGGCTATAACCCTGAGGCTAAAATGATACAGAGAGTGGGGGAGGGGTGTCTTCTGTTTAGAGGCCGGCTTCTGTTCTGGGCTATGAACTTGACCATTTTTCTAGTCTGCTCCTTGTTGTTGTTGTTGTTTTCTTTTTTATAACTGCATTATTTCTCTACCTCTTTATCTTTATTGAACCGTTTCAATTTGTCTTTTTATTCCATTCTTCAAATCCATTTATTTTGTTTCTCATTTTGACCTTATTGCTGAACTAACCTATGTTTGCTTTTCCCTGAGTGTCAACTTATAAATTCGGCCTACATGATTCCTGTACTCTTATCTCTCATGAACTTGTTTGCTGGGGAAGACCACAAACACACACACACACACACACACACACACACACACATTTTAAAAGTATGATGTCTTTCAACTATGAGAATAATCTTTTTTCTCTGACATATAAAATATGTGTAATTATCTTGTTTAGTAAGTTCAGGAAGATAATTGCATTTTATATGGCATTAGTGTTCAATACACATGATTATAAGTTTCAAAAATCTCCAGTAAAACACTTGAGAGTATTGTTGTCTTTAAAATTCAGAAGCACAGATTACATCAGGCATGTACAATTCACACGTCATTCAATTTTTACATTTAATTTTAAAAAAAATGTATAGAGACTATTATGTTAAAAAAGAAGATGAATTGTAGCTTTAAAAATTCTAGTCTAATATTTACTATGTTTCCTTCACCTTGAAGACCCTGTAACAATATCTGAAAAAGACTCACTGCTTTTTATTGTTATAAACTATGTCAATATAAAACAGTATAGCATTCCTTATCTAAAAAAACATACTGAAAACCAAGTCATTGGATAGTCCATTAGCCAGTGTAAGTTTATTTCTCTAAGTATAAAACTATTGGGTAGTGTTATGCAGTGATCCTAGCTGGGGGCTCACTTTTGTTCATTTCGGTTTGTGTTGCTTATACTCTTACAGGAATGCCTGGGAAACACTCTGGAGGGATGCACACTTCGCTCTAACAGTGGCTGTGTCTAAGGAATGCAGTTGGGCTTCATGTTGGAATGGGGAACCTTCCGACTTTTACCCCATAGATTTCTATACTGTTGGTATTTTAACAACACATTAAACATGTTTTAAACAACACAGTCAATCAGTAAAATAGCATTAGCCATAGTAAATTGTGTTTCTCTTCCAGTTCCACAGCCTCCGAGACTAGAACCCCAGGAACCAAATTCTGCTACCAGCACAACAATTGCAGTGTACTGGAGCATGAGCAAGGAGGATGTTGTGGACTCATTCCAGGTCTACTGTGTAGAGGAGCCACAGGACGATCAAGAAATGAATGGTAAGCAGGGCAGTGGTGGCGCTCGTCTTTAGTCTCAGCACTTGGGAGGCAGAGGCAGGCGGATCTGAGTTCCAGGCCAGCCTGGTCTACAGAGTGAGTTCCAGGGCAGCCAGGGCTACACAGAGAAACTCTGTCTCAAAAAAAAAAAAAGGAAAAGAATGGCAAGATTGAGATTGCTGTAGAGCTACAGATGCTGGTATATATTTCTGCATCTTAATAATACACATTATATATGTATATAAATATATACACATATACACATTAAAATATTATACTTCTACAAAGCATTTTTAGCCACTTACAGGAGTGATAACAGAATCTCTCAACAACCACATGCTACAATATTAGTGGAGAGAAACAACTTGGAAATTGGTGTCAGGGAACGCATACAGATATCTTCACGATGGTCAATGTGAGTGTTAATACTGAGATTCGGGTTAGACTTTGAGGGCTCAAAATTAACAGGAGCAAGTAAGTGATGCTCATCTTCATGAAGGAAGTATCATTCGAAAGTTCCGGAGAGATGGAGGTTTAACCAGTGCCGATGTCTGAGGGACAGTGTGGCGAGCCCTGCTCTGTGGAGGGGAGATGAGCCGTACAGAGGCCAGCGCCCTCCACAGTAAGTTTCACGCACACACAACACTGGGTATCAGGTTTGTAGGTTCAGAGTTCACAATCTTTAAGGTGTGGGTCTAGGTGTGGTACAGCCACCCAGTGGCACTGAGTAATGGGAGATAGAAACAACATTGCAGAGCATGGAGAGCAGACGGCAGATCTCACAAGCTAAGCATTTGTGAAGATCTCTCTGCTCAGAACTTCTGATGAGGCCTAAGAGGCAGGCAGTGTGAGGTTGTACTTCCTGATGAATCAGCACGGGGAGTGCTGGCATTCTGTGGTGCTTGTTGAAGACAGACCCACATGCTTGGGGAATTAGATGAGCATGTGGCAATATCAACAAAATTCAGGAGCCCAGTTATAATGAAGGGGAAAAAAACCCCCGGCAGAATATCTCGCTGTTGCTAAGACTTAAAAGTTATTTTTTAAAGTTAATACTTTTTTCTCCCTTAAAGACAGGGTCTCACATATCCAAGACTGTCCTGAAATGCACTTTGTAGCTAAGGATGATCTTGAGCTTGTGGTCTTCCTAGTCCTACTGATTAAGTGCTAGGATCTGAGGTGTCCCTACACACCTGGTTAACATGGTGGTGGGGACCAAACCCATAGTTCATCCCTGCTAGGCAAGCATTCTACCAACTGAGCCACAGCACCTAAACCTTTTGAAATATATAGTGATAGTTAATTTAGAAAAAGGTTTCTGTGACGGTAACTGTGGGCACAGTATAAAGTTGGCTAAATCCATCTCTAAAGACAAAAAGGAACTGTCACCATATAACGGTGACCATATATTATGTGACTCTGACAAAAGCCCAGATGTCAGATATTTCTTGGGGAGATATAATGCACACATGTTTACTTGGCCCATGTAGGGAGTCCATGACAGACCAAATTATAGATAACATTGAAACCTAACTTGGTGAACCAATGAGTTTTATTGGGGCGACTTACAGGAATATGAGGGGTTATTCACAGGAGCAGATGTGACTCAAAGACAGCTGCATCACCAAAGCCTACCCAGTGTGAGTGACAGCTCACAAAGCTGGGAACCTGGAGCATGCTGCACAGCCTGAAGTCAGCTCAACAGCTTAGAGTGGCCTTTCCAGGTGGCTCAGTTGGTCTGAACCTCTTCCAGACAGTTCAGCTGGTCTCTTTCTTCCAGGTGTCTGAGGTTTTGTCAGAGTCACCTATGTAGTTCGGTCCTCCCCTCCCTAGAGTAACTCTTAATGTTTATTCTTAGGGGAAAGGGGAAGGGCCTAGTGAATCTGGTCAGTTTCAGGGACTTCCTAAAGCTATTTGAATTGTTTACTTTTTATTATAAGGAGCTTCCCTGCAGGATGGAATGTTTTAAGCATGGAGGAAATAGGTACACAACACCACATGTCAAAGTGTTACAGCTCATTTACAAGTGGAAAAACTGATATAGGGTTAAATAATTCTCCCACAGTCACATTAACTTATCCATGACTGGGTCAGGAGTCAAACAGATCTTTCATTGTAAAGAAACCCATTTATATCTGTCTCTTTGCTTTGTTATACACATTTCACCTCCTTTCATAGCCAGCAGTATCATGAAAATCCATGTCTGGCCAAGACCTTTCTTAAGTTATAGTTAACACTCAGAGTGCCTTTCCAGGGTGCTCATCCCACTCCATCACTAGCCAGAAGACTTCCTGTAGTGTGGCCTGCAGTGTCTCGTTGTTTCAATGCCTTGAAATGTGCTGGTGCAACTTGCTATCTGAGGACCTACCCTGTGGTACCATGGTACTTATTGTAAAGTCTCCAAGAACGGGTGTCATGTGATTGCTAAAAGGAGTGTCTGAAGGAACAGTTCTGGTAAAAGCTGCAGTTGTTGGTTTCTGGACTACAGAGGAAGTGTTAGTGTTTGCAATGTCCTTTAAACTATTGTCCTCTCTAGGCAACCAAAGAGTCCTAAGTTTCTTTTGGGAAACAATCTAGGTTCTTAACTAGGAGTATTTTGAGATGGTAACATTCAGGGGCAATACAGAAGGATAACTAAAATTATCATATGCTAATTCCAGGGAGAAAATTATTCTTTTTAAAGAAGAGAGCATTTCAGTAAAAGTGATCAGATTGGCCTAACGTGTAAGGCATCACTGGACATGGTTGGTAGCTTGTCTCTATAACTCCAGTACTCCAGATACGGAGGCAGGAGAATGGTACATCCCATGCCAGTCTGCTCCAAGTGAAAGCATGTATCAAAAATCCCCAAACCACAAACAAACAAAAATCCAAAGGTTCAGGCATTTTTAATAGCATTTAGCAATATTTACCATTTAAAGTAAAATCATTTAAGAAAATTTAATACCTTGATTAAACCAATTTCAACTTCTCATAATAGCTCATTACCCTATCAAATTTAAATATTTCACTGTAAAGGTTGGAATATATACCTAAAAGGATTCTGAAATATGAAGTATGGAGGATGGGAGTGGCAAAGCCTTCCCTGGGCAAGGCTCAGAGCCGTGGCAAAGCCTTCCTGTGGTCCAAGTATGAGTGGGAATTATCGATCAGCGCACATAGAAACTATCGACCCAGCTATCCCTAAGGTTTACAGCCTGAGGCTGCTCCCCTACCAAGAGTAAACAAACTGGCTCCTTGTTCAGCTGTATTTCATAAACCCACCTCCTTGACTTAGATACATAAAACAAACGTACTCCATTCTCACTTGTGGTTGCTGGTGCTGCATCATCATTAGAGCACACGTCCTCCTCAATTGCAGCCATGGTATACATACGGCCACATTTCTGACATTTCTCCCTCCTGTCACCCTAGTTAGGTCAAGCCCTAAAGCTGTTCGAGGTGTGGCACTAAAGTTCCTGAGAAATTGTTAGAATCTGAGACCTGCAGTCATAGTGAGTGGCAGAATCGCTTACTAGTCTGTAAAGATGCTCTGCAGTCTTCATTACAAAGCACATAGCTGTCCTTTCTGGTGATAGAGTCCTGTGCAATGTTGGCATTGGTTCTTAAGGCTTTTCTTGAAACGTTATTACTGAAATTTAAGGTGGCATATGCTCTATACAAGTTTGATTTTTGCTTTTGTGATCAATTACTTTAATTGTGGATCATGAATCTCAGAAATGAATTAACATGCTATTAGTTGTGATAAGTGTTCACTAGCAATACTACGTATGTCTTTTCAAGTATCAATTTTTACAGAGCTATTGGGTACTTACATATCCTATAGAGAAACTTATCACACAATAATAGTTGTAAAGTTATCAGTTTGAGTCCTTGGTAGAAATCATAGACTATGTTTTTCAATAACTAATTTTTAGTTTACTTTGTAAGACATCTTTGAACACATCATAATTGTGTCTTGTGCTAGAACTGGTAGAAGAATACAGATTAACAGTGAAGGAAAGTTGCTGTATATTTGAAGACTTAGAACCCGATCGCTGTTATCAAGTGTGGGTGATGGCTGTCAACTTCACCGGATGTAGCCTGCCCAGTGAAAGAGCAATTTTTAGAACAGGTAAGCAGATGCTAAAACATTATTGTGAGTTAATACAGAGTTCTCCACAGACTCTTGACATCAACCAGTAAGTATTTAAAAAGCACTAGCTACGTATTGGATGTTGGGCAAAATCCTGGGTACAAACTAAGACTGAGCTGGGGTTTAGGATGAAGCACAGTAGTAGAATGCCAATCTAGCAGCAGAAAGCCCTGGGATCGTACCTCAAGTACAGTAACAACAGCACAAAGACCGAGCTCTTGTTTGCAAGAACATCAGAGTTAAGCTGAGGAGTTAAAAAACTCTGAGGATCACTGGGAATGGTCGACGAGGGTCTGGATCCTTACAGGAATTAACTATGGTAGCACTCAAGAGAATACCCAGACAGACAAGGGAGGGCAGACAGACCCAGGAGTGGCTTCTTAGAGCTGAAACTGCACAGAACGCTGTACATCAGCAGTTCTTAACCTGTGTGTGTGTGTGTGTGGGGGGGTGACCCAAACCTTTGGGTGTCAAATGCTACAGTTATGAAGTAGTAATGAAAATAACTTTATGGTTGAGGGGGGTCACCACAAGACTGTATTAAAGGCTCACAGCATTAGCAAGGTTGAAAACCACTGCTTTAAATGATAAGTTAGTTGGACTAGAGCAGATTCCTCTTAAAGAAAACTTGGGCAGACATGAAGTATACATTGAGGCATCAGGGACTGTGAGATCTTCATGTTCCTTAAGGAAAGACACCATTTTTAAAAGGTTTAGCATGTGAAGTATAATTGCAAGCTAAGACTGGACTTCCTTACACAGATGTGGAAAAACCCAGAATGGTTGAAGCCGTGGTGCTCGACTGGGAATAGTCTGTCACGGTGAAATCTTTCCGTAAAGGACTGTAGCAGGAGAGATACCTCAAAGGCTGTCTTGCCTTTAAGATCACCGCAGCCACCTTAGGCAGGAAGTAGTTTATTCCTGCCCATTGGTCCTTTATCCCTCCTCCTGCCTTTAAAAACAAGTATTTGGCTGTTCACAGTGGCCCATACATATACTCCCAGCATTTGAGAGGCAGAAGCAGGAGTTAAAGATTCATAGCAAGTTCCAAGCCAACCTGGACTACATAAGACCGTATTTCAATAACTTAAAACACAGTATCAGACAATCCTTTCACACAAATCTTTATTGACTGGGGACAAGATTATGTCTGCCTTTTGGGTAAAAGGAGAAGGGAAAGAATATTTGCATTTATTTAGTAGTTATATAATAAAAACAGGCTGGGTCTTATGGAAAGCAACTTTTGGGGACTGTTAGGGGAGGTAGAGAACCTGATAGTTTGTAATGCAGAAGAAGGAGAGACACCTTAAGCTACATGAATGTGTGTGTGGGGAGGTTCTTGGGTTTTTTGTTTGTTTTTTAAAATCTCTTTTGATTTTTTAGCTCAAATTTTTGATAAAAAAAATTAAAAATAAAACCATACTTAAGTGATCCTCTGAGAGTTGTCCTTGGTCTGTGACTCACTTGTCTCTCTCTCCTCAGCACCCTCCACGCCCGTGATTCACGTAGAAGATTGTACTGTGTGTTGGAACACGGCCACTGTCAGATGGCGGCCCGCTAACCCCGAGGCCACAGAGACCTACACTCTGGAGTACTGCAGACAGCACTCTCCTGAGGGCGAGGGCCTGAGGTAAGGCCCTCCACAGTGAGACTGCCAGGTGCTCCAGGCCCAGGCTATTTATCTGAGCTTATGCTTACCCAGCAAGAGAAGCATCCTTGAATCCTGCTGAGCTAATTAAGCTGTTGACTTGATTTGCGGCGCCATCACTGTTCATCAATGAACTCTGAGTTTATAATAGAACGCATGCTACAATGCAGAATAATAAGTCCCTTGTAAGAAAAATGTATGCAAATTTTAATAAGATAGAACATTCTTTGAGGTATATTTAACTTGAATCATTAGTCAGGATTTATGCACATTTCGTTCCATTTTTTACTAGCTCAGTCAGAAAAGGTACCACCTAACTCGGGAAGCTAATAGTGAGCTTATGTATAATGTAAATCAGAATGTCTCCACCATGTATTAGCAACATAAAGGAGCTAATTACACATATATTATCACAGAGACAGACTTGCCTCTTCAAGAATATGAAGAATATAGAGATTCTTCTACTGTAAAGGAAATCCAAGGCTCCCTCAGTAAAATGACAAAGCTAAAATTTATCAAGGAAAGACCACATATCCTCTAGGCAGTTAGTAGAGTAATTATTGACTCATCTATGAGGTAATAGTTCCTCAACTTCTGATGTCATGGCTATAGAAAGTACCTTCATATACCATGATGAATATTTAGACTACCGATTACTAGTTATTAACTGATATTTGCATTTTGATAGGAGACATTTTTGGGTTTGCTTTTTTTTTTGGTTCTTTTGCCACATTTACTGAGATAAATTATTTTGTTAGGAAGTTAGGAGTAATGGCATAAGATTAAACAACCTTCTAATAAAACGTACTTAAGCTCTCGATTAGCGCCATGATCGAGCAGCTATTTATTTAGTTATGATATAAGGTTTCATATGACTGAACAATAATTATAGTTTCTTTCAGGTTGAAGACAGGCGTTGCTAAATAATGATCAGACAGTGTGTTGGGGTTGGGTACATGAGGAGGGGTGGGATGTAGGCACTTCTGCAGAACTGAAAATGAAGTAAATATACAAACACAGCAGCCCATCTGTGTATCTTCTGACTGCTGGAAGGCGAGCTTCGGGAATCATTGTATTATTATACATTACATAGTTCATGTTGTTTGGTTGGTTGCTATGTAAAGCCACTAATGTGTGTCAGTCTGAAAGCTCAGAAAAACATGTTGTGATCTCCGTATGCTTACAGGATAGCACTGTACTGAGAACCAGAGACTGATGCTGGTCCCTTAGCTCTGTTTCCCGTTGGCTACTCACCCTGAGCTGGTTAACCCTGGTTGTAGTCCTTCTATACCTCATCTATCTCAACGGGCTTCAGTTTGCCAATCCCTGACAAAGACCAATGACTGCGACAAGAGAGGTCTAGCCAGCTACCCTTTGGGCTTATGAGGACCACATGAAATCAGGGACAAGAAAGGGGTTTGGCATTGCAATATACCAGCGAAATGCAAAGCTTTAAGAAAGAATCCTTCCTTTGGCAATTGTGATAGCAAATTCCCAGAAAAGGTCCCCAGGAGTCAGGCAACATTTGAGAGGTGAGCTCCGGTCAGCACAGAAATAAGGGACTTCAGTATTGTGATGATACGGGCCCAGGTGCTTCAGACATCCTCACAAGGACTCTAACAAGTTCCTCAGCTAGCAAGTGGCATGGAGATTTCAGCCACAGATTTGTCATATTTAAAGGTCCAAACCCTTAACCCCTGGGTAGCATTACTTAGGGACACTCTCTGAAGAGTCCTTGATGCTATGAGAATGCTGTTTCAGGAACCCCTGAGTTCTAAGGTGGTATCTCCCACCATCAGTGAGGAAAGCCAGTTCTCAGGGAAGATCAGCTTGTTCACAGGGCTCTGAAGTGACTCATCCTCTGTGGCATGCACCCCCAGATGGCATTTATATAAATCATTTTAGCTCAGTTGGATACCTCAATCAGCAAAAACCTGAAAACCTTGAGACCCAGGAGCTGTCTCATGTAAGGAATCACATTGTCATCTCATAAGTGTAGTTATAGAGAGAAGAGGAAGGGAAGAAGGAATGATGTCCATAGAGGGCCGTCATGGTGCTGGGAGCTGTGTTAGTTCTTACTGAACTCTCAGTGATCCTGTGAGGTAGTTAACGCTTTCCATTAAATCAGAACCACAAAGCTCTCATGAGTTGGCACTCAATTAAATTATGCACTGTGAGTTTGGGGTTAGAACTAAAACAAAGCTCTGTTCTATTCATTCCATCAGTTTTTTGCTTGTTTGTTTTTTTTGTTTTTTTTTGTTTTTTTTTTTGTTTTTCGAGACAGGGTTTCTCTGTATAGCCCGGGCTGTCCTGGAACTCACTCTGTAGACCAGGCTGGCCTCGAACTCAGAAATCCCACTACCTCTGCCTCCCAAGTGCTGGGATTAAAGGCGTGTGCCACCACCGCCCAGCCTCATTCCATTAGTTTTAAAACTCTTGTCTTTACAGACACTGAGCTATCAGAGCCTCAGCCTGGCAACTGGGAGGTTTTGAGTATCTCTAGTTTCCTTTGTCCCATGAAAAACAGACATGAAACGATAATATATCAGCACTCAAATCCCTTTACTTGATCTTTTTCTTTTGCTTGATCATCATGGAGCCCTCAAAACTATAAAAGAGGGGCCTGTTTGTTGTCATTAATGATTCCAAACAAATCCTCCATTAAAGCCAAAGAGACCAATGGAAGTTCCATTTTTAGAGACTTAAAATGCTGACAATGGCCATCCACCAATTTTTGCCAAAGCCAAAGTAAAATTTATTGAGGCATAAAGCTAGTCATTGCTTTGTTCAGTCTGAGGCTTTGCCAATGTGTTGTTATTCTGTTGTAAGTAAATATAGGAGGGTCTAGCTAAGCAGAAGTTTGCAGTAGTGTTAGAATTGTATGGAAATCCTTTGTCTCAGGGTGGATCTAGTCCAGCAAGTTTAAAACCAAGTAGAGCTCCACATGTTGAGCACGCTGGGGAGTCTAGAGGTGTGTTGGAGATGGAGTTGATTTCCAGTTAGGTGCTTAAAGGCATTGCGTGGCAGGAAGTGCAATGTCCAGCCCCCTAGCTCAGACCCGACTTTCCAAGTCTGGATTCCTGCTGAGTTTGACAATAGAGAATCTTCTGAAGCAAGCAGAATTTTCTTGGCTGTAGATTCCTACCACACCCACCTGCCAAGTCTATTGCTGAGCTCGAGTATCAGAGCCATCTCTCTTCCATAGACGCCTCTGTGTTTTATACCCCAGGTTGGCTTCACTAGACTCTGAAATAACTCATCTTTAATCTCAGAGATGCAGGATAGCTTGTATCTCTTGTTTCTCTGATCTAAGAATCCAAGCGACAAGGGAAGTTCTGCTCTTTGAAAGTGTCCACATGTCTCAAGATCTTCCGACAAAACATCACTTCAGAGTCTGGTGTTTCGAAACTCTGTAAAATACTATTTATTACCTATATTATATATAGCTTAAACTTTATGATGCCAGCTATGGAGACCTAGTCATCTGGTATAATCAATAAATAAAGAACCACAGGTATTTTTGTTTTAAATCATCTCTACTTAATAATTCCTACTTTTTTTTCTATTGCATTAGTACCTCGTTTGGCATCATGCACAGCAGCCAATGGTAAAAATGGACTTGTCCCTTGGAAAGACCTGTGCTGAGTGTTGTCTGATCTCCCCTATTTGTTGACCCCTTAAAGGGATTAGTAGATGCAACTATAGCCCCAGTGTCTGAGCCAGTCTCTGGCACTGCAGTTAGATCAGCTTTAAAGATAATCTCAAAAGAATAAACTGCTGACAAAGTAGAGAAGAAAGGTGAATGAGCTCACGTCAGTGTTTGGATTCTTAACAGGAGAAAAGATGAGTCCAATTTGTTAGTGAAAACTTCCCTGTGGCTCCCTGATAGAGAAAAACATGGAGAGTCTCACTTGCCCACGGGTTGCATAACCTCTACATATGTTCCAAGTTTGTAGAGAATTAGTTTGGAGGTTCTTGAAGAAGAATAAAGTAGACAAAAGGTAGCATGTTTTCCCATGTGGCTTTGTTTACCAGAACCTGGATCATAAAGTGGTTAAGGATTGAGAACTCATCTGTAGACATCATCAAAGGTCTGTCAGTGAGAAAGAAAAAATGGGATGAGTCCTTTGGTCTTTGTCCGCTTCAAGTCATATACAACCAGCTGAAGTCACCAGCAAAAGAGAAGAGCCTTTGTTGAGGGAGAGCCTTAAAAACTCTGGAGTGCTTTAGGGAGAAGAATTGAAATGAAGAAAGGAGAGAGAAGAATGAGTACTATGAAATCATGTCCACGCCCATGCCCACACCCATACCCACGCATGCGCACAAACATACCCACGCCCATGGCCACGCATGCGCACACACACTTGTACTCATGGAGGGAGGGCATTGACTCATTGATTGTGATCAGGCTGGTCACTTATTCCAGCAGCCAGAATGAAATTATCCATCAGAGGACCCGCATTCCTCCTCCCGGTGTGATGACCTCTTAGACATTCTACTTTAAGATTAACTTTGCTGGTGCTGGTTGGATTCTCTGGGGTTGAGGTGGGGGATGAATGGAATGAGCAAGCCTACTGCGCCCCTACACAGTGTCTAAAATAGCTGAGCAAAGGAGCTTTTCCATAATTCTTCTAAAATTTTGCTTTTTTTTTTTTTTTTTTTTTTGTTATGTGGGCACCAAAGCCTGGTCCCAGCTAGTCAGCTCCTGTTGGGACTGGAGGTGTGGATGTGGGTGGGAGTGCCGATTCCCGGCTTGCGTGCCAGATGGAGGGTCTCCTAGTCAGCCTCTTCCTGGTTTTCTTTGAACGCTCTCCCCAGGTCGGGTGGGCTCAAAACACTTTTGAAATTTTTTCACCACTCTGCTGTTTCCTCAGCTGCTCTGTCTCTCCTCTGCAGAGAGAAGTCAGCAGAAGTGTGGGTGGAGGAGGAAAACTGAGAGAAATATAGTACAGGGATTAGCTGTGTGGGTAGTGCAGAGAAGT